ACTTGTATTGGTCTAACTACTGTGTTTGCTGTATTAGAACTTGTGCTTGAAGGCATTCGACTTGACGATGCAGTCTTTGATGCTCTACGAGCTCTTGGAGGCTGGTACACCTGTCGAACTAATCATTGGCTTTGCAATATTCACAGCCTTAAACTCGTTATTCTGCGCTGTCGAGATCATCAACCACAGATTTACTGCGTTTGCAGAAATCCTCATCGATTCGCTATTTGATCTTTGTGCTGCTGTACTCTTCCCCATCGTAATTCTCGTCTACAGTGCCAAGAATTTCGACTTTGATCGTGCTGTGTACCACATCAACATGGAGTTGCTACCCGTTGGAAGCTTCGAAAGACGAGCACGTATGTTCGCCAGTCCAACAGAGATCGAGCTCTTCCGTGTTTCTTTTGATTCTCTCCGAATTCGCAGTGTGTCGGATTATTTCTTACGGATTGGGATGAATCTTGGATTTTCTTATCGTTTCAAGAGAGTGGTGGAAGTGCTTATACAAATGCAGAATCAGAGACAGCGCCACCAATCCTCGAGAAGAGCGTCATTGGCGCGGCAATATTCAAATTTGCTGAAATTTTCACAGTTTCCAAATGGTCGGCAGCCATGTCAACGTGCGGCCCCAAAATCTCTCGCCATCCTGTATCTCGCTTATAGTGTTGCAGTTATTGTTGTCACGCAACGATCTATCTCGACATCGCAAGCAGCTTGTGCTTCCTACCCTGAATGTGTCGTCTTTGCCTATCGATGGAGAGATACTGGGCTCTGTCCGTGTCGTGCTCTCATTGACGGAAATCGAGCACCGAAAACGTACTTTGAGTGGACTCACCCCGTTGACGCTACAGATACTGTGAAAGCCTTGGCAGCAGCTGGGACATTGGAGACACTTCAGTTAATCAATCGACAGCTAACCGTGCTACCAGATGAGCTTCGAGGATGCCACAATCTCAATTATATGTAAGCATTTAGGTGTACTAACACACAGATAAGGACTTTTGACATTTTTTTTATTACCGAAACAGATCCTTGATCAATTGTGCCATTGAGGAACTGCCGGCGTGGGCTAAGGAGTTCCACAAGCTGCAGTATCTGTACGTCGCTATTACTTATTTGGTTTTTAACAGATTGTTAACATTTGTGACTGTACAGACAGATTGAAGGCAAAGTGGGGAGTAACAATTTAGGTAATTTTGCTGATGATCTCTTCAGCGACATGCCCGAGCTGCGATATCTGCAACTCGGCCTTCATCGAAGAATGATCCGATTGCCTCCTTTGGATGGGGCTCCGAACTTGTCCTGCCTGGTTATGGCTCGCATGAGTGAGTTTACTGCACTCCCTTCTTTCAAGCATCTTCGCCGACTTCAAAGACTCGAATTTAGCGTCATGAAGCAACTGTCCTGGATTCCCGATCTCGAATCCGTCGATACGATTATCCACTTTGCAGTGTATCAAGGAGCAGCTTTATGCTGCAATGGTTTCGTCGGGACGTGTAACCTCACCAACCCGTTCTGCAACGGAGGCTCCTGTCTGGAAGATTTTTCTCTTAGAGCTTCACCGGCAACATTGCAAGTTTTCAATGAATTTTCTGATAATGTCTGCCAGCCTTACTCCGGAATCTCCCAAACCCCAACGACTCCTATGATTAAAATGTGCGATGGGGTTCCATATCGAGAATGTCGTGTATCTGGTCCCGAGCCCAACACATCCGTTGTGGGGATGTGTTACAATCATCGGATGCAGGTTCTAGCGTGCAATCCAGATCCTGCTAAAATCCGAGTTCGTCGTCGCCAAATCCACGACGGAGTTGGTGATCCATGCGATCCTGTCGAAGAAGCTTGGTTGGGGTGCATTAGAACCGCAGCATGACCACAATGGATAAGCTACACACAAATGGTTTCTGTTAGCTCTATTTTTCATGTTATATTTCACGATTTTTGCTATCAAAGTGCGACTATTCGAAAATCCAAGATCTTCAACTTGATAATTGTATTGTAATATTTGTGGATTATTACCGTTACTTCAGAGAAAATCCAGGATTTTCCACCAATCGCACCTCAATTTTCAAGTGGCTACATCTGCATTTTGAACCCTTACGACGACCGCCTCCAATGACGACCGTCACCTGCCCCGGGGCGTGTCCCTCGGTCCCTACGCTACTTGGTGATTGCGGCAGCTCCTCCGCTCCCTCGTCTTCTCTCTATTTAGCCGCAGAGACGCGGCGGAGACGACGTCTACAGACTGAAAACGACGCGGAGACGTGCTCGGACGTGAAGGTGGTGGATGCGACGTCGTTATCCGGTTTAGGCGTGCAAGCCACAGAGCTAACTAATACCACGCTGACAGAGCTGTACGGCGCATGTGCAAACACGTTCAAACAGCGTTATAACGCTGAAAAATTGACCAAGTTACGCTCTGTTGAACGTTGTAGGAACTTAACGGACAATAGCGTCAAAAACTTGCGCGATCTGCAGCTCCCAGAGACGCTGCAGCAGTTGTAAGTGATGCAAAATGCAGAATGCACGACGCTTAAGACTGACAATGCGCTGGTGATGCAGATATTTGAGGCAGAATGAGCTCACGAGTCTGGAGATTCCGGAGAGCTGGCATCATCTAGAACTGCTGTGAGTGGCCATTGTCAGAGCTCCTGAATAAAGTCCTGACTAATTGCTGTTGTATCTTCGGATAGAGACGTGTCGGATAATCCTATCGCCAACTTTACGACGGAGGGGAATGATGGACCGAGAATTCTCATCGCAAGGAACACCTGGCTCAGCTCAATGGAAGACGCCGTGTTCCCAGCAACGCTGCGACAACTGTAGGTGTGCTGGTCATTCTCTATTCTTGTTGGAGTTTGCAGCATTGCTGACTTTGCAGCGGTGTTCATGTTCTGACTTCTGTTAAGTGACGTGTCATCGACGCCTATTGCAAACTGGGGGAACTTTACACCGCCGACGGACTTGTCCGACCTGTACGTTGACAAGCGAGAGTCATGTTTAGTTAACATAATGACGATGTGGTTTAAT